GTGCAAACGATGTTACATTATATTACTTTAATATATATTTCATAAACAACAGTGAAGTAGCGCTTAATCAACTCTTCGTTTAGAACCACGCTTCCCAACCGCGTGGAGTATTACTAGTATTCTTCAGTTATTCGTTACTTTAATACTTATTTTTGGACACATTATTAACTGTTTAAATGTTAAACTGTACAATACGGGAGTGCGACTTGTGAAAAACAAACACTAGCTGAAGTCCCAATATAGATTGAACAAATGAAGTAGTTAATATGCGCAGGGAGGGAGGAATGAGGAATCAGTCTAAGAGAGATTTTAGCGTAAAAATTTGGGAACATTTGATGAGTTTTTGAAAAAGAAAAGTATTAAAAGTTCAATAGTTGGTTGTTTGGAGTGCAGGAGAGTGCGAGTGCATCGTTCCGTTCAACAATTCAAATTGCAACGTTGATGTAGCCTTTCTCCATAATAGAAATAAAAGAGTCCAACCGTTTCCGGGACTAGGTATACATCTTTGAAGGAAATGTTTCGGTGATATATTTTTGAAACAGTTCTCGATTTGGGCGAAGTAAAAACTTGAAAAGTGTGGAATTTTGTTCTATATGCCCCTCCCCCCCCCCCCCAAGTTGTAAAAAAAAATCCTAAAAAACAAATCCCAGTATGTCGACATCACACTTACCCACTACAGCGATTGATCACTTAACATCGCTATAAATCTCAAGTAGGCCCTTGTGACATTATCAAGTGTGTATTGCGCTGTTGAATGTGTTATTATATAAGACTCTTTAAGTCGAGAAGGAAGTGGTCGCAAATTATGGCTTAGCTGTGGTGAGGTGTGGTTTCCAAATTTAACTCGGGTAAAGGAAAGCCTATACTTCTATTGATGTTTTCAAAATTTTGGGAACGGGTCCCTTCATATCAAATCATAAATCAACAGGTTCCCTCGTTTCAGAAAATGTATGTCAACACGTGTGCTAATTTCTTATAACACTTAGTTTTCGGGACGTTTAAAAAAATGGAAGATATTGGTCTAATACAGGGGTGGGCAACATGCGGCCCGCGACGAGATTTTGACCGGCCCGCTGACTGTATCCAACCACACTCTGTAATGTGGTCCGACGCCTCATTCATAAAAGTTGCCGATCGCTCTACTCTTGGCGCACTGTCAGTGCGAGCTGATGAAATAAACAATTGCCTTAGTGAACAAACAATTGCGTTAGCACACTTGTTAAACAAACAATATAAGGTCAAAGCAGAGAGCGTTGTAAACATTCCCCACTACTGAAATCAGTTATATTTGAAATTTAAATATAAAAAAATTTTAGAAATTAGGTTTTATATTAAGTTTTATTAACCATGAAATATCCCAATAAACGTAAAGTTGACAGAGAGTGTCGAGCATTTAACAAAGATTGAATACCGAAGTATTTTCTGAAATAATCCGGCCCGCCGAGAGCTTTTTTTTCACATCTGGCCCGCCGACTAGAGAAGTTTACCACCCATGGTCTAATAGCATGTTGCATACATATCGCAGTATGCTTGTATCCGGCCCTTTTTTAGAGTGTTACAACGCTTTCTTAAATTGACATCAAAACTGCAGCCCTACAAAATCTTCTTCAATTTTCGACTAGAGCAGTTGTTCCCAAACCAGGGGTCGCGAACCCAAATTGGGTCGGAGTGAAACGTAGGTAGGGTCGCAAACAGGTCATGGAGTCGGTGGGGTCGCTGATGTATGGTAGAGGATGGATGTATAAAACATCTAAGATTTGACAAATCATGTTAAATTTAGCAGTTTGTACCATGGCTTACTGTAAAACAGGCCCATAGGCATCCCTTTATGCTTGTACTATCAAGAATGTAGGTGCTTAGTGTGACATCACTGTTTGGTTTGGCTTATTTTACTTAATACCACCACATTAACAAACTTAAAAGTCCAGTGAGAGAAGCTCTAAAGTTTCATGAAAAATATATATATTGACCTGGGGTCGCACTGGACAATTGAAAGTTGTCTCTGGGGTCATCCTAAAAAAGCTTGGGAACCCCTGAATTAGAGTATAGTGCGACTGGCTGAAGCGGCGCTAATGTAATTTATGTGCACATTAATGTAATACAGAAAGTTTAAGAACTTCTGAATCCGTATCTCAGAGTGTAGTACAGGGTGACCCCAAAAAAAGAACACGTAAATTCATTTACCATTTGAACTTCTGTTCATGTAATATGATTGAATCCACAAGTTTCATTAATCTATAACGCTTTGAACAAAGATATGTTTTCGCTGAGTATGTTCCGAATGACCTGGGTTCTGCGTTTTTGCCGGATCTCTGTTATTGCATCGTGTGAAACCGCCCTTATATGAAAGATTCCCATCATTTTGGAAACGCAGTAGTAGCTAATAATATATATATGACGTTCTGCTTGTATCGATCGAGTCGTAACTAGAGCTGGGCATTTCGAATCGAATATTCGAATCGAATCGAATAGTGAATTATTCGAATCGGTTTAGAGTAAATTTTTGAATGGCCGCCTTCTTTATCCTACCCTTTCCGCCAATGGTCGAGGTAAATTTCTCAATTTTTTTTTCATTGAAGCCATATTTTTTCAACACAATTCTGACTTATGACTCTTTTCTGTATTGAGGTATTGATGAAAACGTGTTTTTTTTTATTGTCAGTGATGTATTCTATGTTTTCAGTAATTTATGTGTCTGGAGGACCTAAAATACTAAGAAATTTACATACAATTTCATACCTTCCAAGTATTCGAGATTCGATTCGATTCGAAAAAAATTATTCGATTCAATTCTGAAATCATCAGGTATTCGAAAATGCCCAGCCCTAGTCGTAACCAGAACTGTAAACACTAAAAATAGAAGTACATTTCACCCTCTTTATTTTTGAGTGACGGCACGATTCCGTGGTTCCCACCCTGTTTGTATAGGAAGGTACTTGAGCGCTTGATAGCTAACGAAGTAGGTATTTGAGTTATTCGAGGTCGCATTATAAGTTTGTTGGCTTGAATAACAATAGAGACGTACTTGAAAGAAAAACGTAAAATAAACGTGTTTTCAGGGTATGTTTTGTAGTTATATTTAATATGAAAGCGCTTTACAATTTTCGGATTTTTTGCACAAGACCCGCCAACACTCAAAATAATAATTATTAATTAGTAATTATCCAGCTAGGGATAGGAATGCAAATTGCGCTGGAACTTTTCCAAAGCATTTCCAATCTCAACCAGATAATTACTAATTTGTTATTTTAAATTTAAAACGTAGCGATGTTTTTTTTTCAAATCTCGCGTTTTTGCATTAATGTCGGAGATTTGCACAAAAGATCTCATTTCTATATAGACAGAAGATCAGGCATAGCGCGGGGAAAAATTGAGCGATGCGTAAAATCAACGTGCTTTTAGTGTCTATTTTGTAATAGTTATATTAGAATTATTATTATACAGAAAGCGCTTGGAATTTTCTGGTTGAAGGTTAGTGCATGATAAATCAGACGACGCCATTTTCCAATTTCATGTTTTGTAGCAGTTAAATACAATAAGAAAGCGCCTTACTTTTCTCGACATCGCAAAAAAAAAATAAAAAAATGTTGCGTGAAATCAACATATTTTTAGTGTATATATATTATGTAATAGCTATATTTTTATGAAAGCGCTCCGAATTTATTGGTTGTAGATTAGGAACAACGCATGATAAACCAGGCCATTTTTACTGATTCTATCCATCGTTGGTTAGGTTAAACAGAAAAAATGCGGGGTAAAACTTAATATGGATAAAAATATCCCCGCCAATCTATCCGTTTGCATGGATTCTTTGCTCTTGAAACCCACGACGCACGAAAGAGAAAAGTTGGCTCAATTTGTACGAAAATAACGCGACTGAATATATAATATTGCCAATTAATATCATCAGATCTGATCACTTTCTGACAAAATCTGAACGCGCACAAGTAGGAAATAATATATAGGAATTAAATTAATATTTATAGACGCGTTTGAAGACCCCCTTCGTAATTTTCAGGGGCGCTCCCTAAGTATGTGCACCAAGATGGCGCACAACCTGAACCCTAACCTTGTACATATACTATGTTAGTTCAGGTTGTGCGCCATCTTGGTGCACATAATTCAGGACCTCATTTTTAGGCTGTGATTCATAAGCAGTTTAATGGCTGATAGAAGGTACACTGTAGCACAGCGTAGGGGGTAGACAGGAACTTTAAAGAGGGGGTTTTGAAATTTCTATTTGTCAAGTTAGACCTCATCAGCTAGCCGTTCCGGAAGCCGGAACATGTGGGTTTTTAAGAGCCTTGAAAGTGTAAAAAACATTTAAAACGACGGCTTTGCGCTCGGTACAGCACATAAAATTTCCAAGCGAAAAACAATACAGATTGCCTATTATTACTTGATTGTGGCGTTTACACTTTAGTGTAGGATTTTTACATTTTTTGTTTGGTAAGGGGAGAGCAGAACTCATAAGATAGATCATATCGTCACGATCGTGTGTGGGAATAGCTACTTGTAACTTACCTTAGAAATCATTAACTGTATTGTTATATCACTATAGCGAGGGGCTTGGTTGGCAAACTTCATGTATTTCGGTGTTTTATAAAATTCAACATTGTTTTAGGTGGCGGTAAGCCTAACTGCTTAATAATATTGTTCAGCTCGGAATAGCCTCGATTTTGCAGTTGTGTATGGATTTTAGTATGTAATTTTCGAGAATAAATTTGGGGTTAGAAAAGTCAACAAGAAAGTTTAATTGTATCACAAAATACGGCGTAAAAAATTACGGTAGTTGATCGGATGCTCGGAATTCTAAAGAGAAGAATGCCACCATTCACTTGAGACACCCTATTTCAGCACAAAGAAGACGAAAGTCCATATAACAGACGTTACTTATGTTTTATTAAATATTTTTTATTTATTCAGCGGAAGGAGGATGGGGTACTAGACGATTTATTAAATCATTTAATATTTTTTTTTACAGTTTTTTTTTATTTCTTCCCGCCACCCCCGCAATGGAAATATCTTGTTATTTGTGGCGGTATATCCCCCTAGGGTCGTAATAAACCGATGCCGGGTCTCGGAAACTGGAACATGGATTTAAAGCAATCGAACGCTAGTTTCGGGGAGATCATGTCTTTCATGGGAGAGAAGAAAAATGAGAACGGTATGTTTGTGTGCCTTAGATTATGAATTTTATCATTTTGCAATGCCTTCGCTGCAAAGTCCGAACACAGTTTACCAGCACTAACTTACTCAAGATCCATTATGACAACATAATGCCGTTCATGGAACCCATTATGACATCAAAACAGATTATCGCGTTCTATAAAGTGCCAAATGAGACGTCATACTATGCATATTTTAAGGTGTGCCACTACACTTTAATTTTTATCATGCATAAATATTTACTTGTAAATAAGAAAGTGGCCTCATTCCGGTACGGAAGATCAGTCGAATACATAGCACATACGTTACGACAGTCGCGCCTTACGCTGTTTCGAGGTTACGAACGCACTAAGCGCGGAGAAGCGTCGAAAATATAGAAGATAATACTGTACTAGTGTACTGGAATATCTGAGCCCTTAAACTGGATCATTGTGATACATCGTACTTTTTGCATTTTTTGTACATTTTATTACTGTACCATACCTTACAATACAGTACGATATGTATATAGTAATTTATGTACTGTACAGTATAATGTTCCGACTTACACTGAAATTCGGGTTACACCGCTTCTCAAGAACGGAACAACGTCGTAAGTTGAGGACTCCCTGTATATTAAATAATAAAATATTCACCCCCTAATCTAGAGGGATCGAGGGAAATACTAAATACTGGTGTGCCCAATTGACAGTAAAGCTATGGTTAATAAATTGGTATGTGAACAGTAGTAACAATAGTAATTGAGCAAGTATAATATCAACTTAATTTCAGAGAAAGATTGGAAATCGACCATTCGCAACAAGATTGAAAACGACATAGATAGCCAAGTTAAAGAGGCTCTTGAACCCCCTCCAGTGGATCGAAGATGGGTTGAAAGAAAAAAAGCAAATCGACAAAAAAAGTTAAGAGTAAGTGATACAGTACTTCATAGTAATACTGAGTTTTTTTCATGCGCCTCTCCCCCCCCCCCTCCCCCTTAAAAATGGAATGCAATAACAGTATTTGTGAACATAAATACAAAAAAAAAAGTTTTTTAACCCAAGAAAAATAAATCCCTTTACATATGTAAGATGTAAGCCTCATAATGAATGAATTTATGCAATAGCTTCACAAATCATGCTATGAGTCTATGTTCAATTCAAAAGTTAATTTTATATATTAAGTATAAAAATATTTCATGCCTCAAAATAAATCTCTAGAATAATCTTTCTGATGTGTGTAAATATAAGAAGATTTAAACTGTTATAACCCAAATATTGATTCCAAACAAACTAATTATATCGTAAAACACGTTTATGAGCCCATAAAAGGGATTACGATTACATGCACTAGCTACACAAGGCCTGAAGCATGTTTTTCTGAAACAGCTGAATTTAAAGTTTGGGGTGAGAGTCTGGGACAACAGAAACTTGTTGTACCGTTAGACTATAACTCTTTAGATATCTCAATTAAATGTTCCTTAAGGACTTACACATTCAATAATTATTAATACATTGCTATTAATAAAATAAGTGTTTCAACTGGCAATACTATTTGATTCCATTTATACTATTAGCAGGGCTGGATCATGCCTTCTAGAGAGTGGAAGTGGTGACTTCTCTACGGCCCGTGGGCCGGGGCCACGACCTTCGAATTGGGCCACGGCCCCATCAGGCTATGTTGTGTAAAGGGACTATTTACTTGGCTAACACAGACAGCGCCGAGCTCCTAACCCTAACCTAACCTGGTACCCTACACATGAGTAGTATGTAGCTTGGTATTTATTTTTATATAAATGCTTATCATAAGAAAAAAATCTGGAGGCATCCCGCGATTTTTTTTGGTTCGAATATTGACAATTTTGTAAAAATTGGAAATTTTGGTAAGATAATTGAATTTTTCCTGATGGGGCCGCGACCCCAATTAGATGGGCCATGGCCCCCAGCCCATGGGTCGTAAAGAAGTCACCACCCCTGTAGCTTCTAATGCCCTGAGCACTTAAGAATTTGGTGCCCTGTATATAAATAATAATATTAGAGAAACTAGTGTTCCATAGTATCTGAAGTTGAATAAAGGAAGTAAGATTACTAATTGAAGGCTAACTTTTTATTAATCAAACTTCTGAACAAAAAATAAGCAAAAACTTATTTCAAACAGGCCAATATTGAGGTCTGAATCATCTCACCGACCCAAAGTATTTCATAAAACACATGAGGCACCAGTAAAAATATCTTATTGCCCTAAGCATGTATGCTTAATGGTAATCCAGCCCTGATTATTAGGTTAGTTTATTGTTCCATCTTCCAACTTATCCTTGTCTAATATAAGAATCAAAGATATCAAGTTAGAAAATCAATGGTGGGGCTATAAAAGGGTGTTAGTGATTTGTCTATTTTGAAGCTTTAATATTTTTTATGATTTTAGGCAAATATTAAAATCTAAAAAACATCTTGTCATAAATACTTTACGATTCCATAAAATATGAACACATTCATGTAGAGGTTATTTCAACCTTTGTAAGAAGAATTTAAACAAGTCCCATTGTTTGCTCATAATGACACTCAGCAGGTCGCATTGTTAAATCATATTTACAAAAGTAGCTCCATTGTTTGTCACAGTGAAAAAGAAGAGTTAAATTGTCTTGTAACAATATCGTTTTCATTGATGGACAGTTTCTATAGAAGCCTCGCAGGGTAGGCCTTTTGGCTGTCAGCACTTTGCCAATTATAGTTTTTAGAATTAAAATAATGCTTTGTCATGCTTGGGCTGTAAAATAATTTGGGAACTCATGACTCACTACTTGCATGGCTAATATTAACAAAGGCTTTAAACCAAAAGAGTAAATTTGTGAAAAGCTATTCTGAGATAATGAGTAAATATATATTTTTGATTTTTAAACTCCTGTAACTTTCTATTAAAATACTTTGGTGAATATTGCTTCTAATTATGATTAGATAAAAGATTCAAAAGAATCCATAACATGGATAACTTTGACAGCAAAGTATGTGTATAGAACTATATTGTTAGGTATCAGGGACTTCTTTTATTTGGCTTTGTTCGAAGCAAAAAGCACGAGTGAACGTCGTATTACGTCATTATACAAAAAATTTGCCGCCCTTTTCAAACTTTTGGGCTGGCTGCGCTCTTAATCCACAACTTGTAATATTTTCAAACAATACTTTTTCAGAATTTTAACTTTCGCCCTTACGTCTTGAATCCCGAATTGAAAAGATTCTGGTCCTTCCCGAATAATAAGTAGCTCCCTGCATATTTTTGGAAGTGAGTTGTCGTCACACATACATAGCATTCAGAAAGCGTAATTTAATAAGCGTAGCATGCACCATGACATCACAATACAAAACATAGGTATGTATTGTGACCTATAGCACGTGTAATAATCGTTATCCGATATGAATTATGTTTTCTTCTGACCAAGAAAACATGTAAAATGTAAAGAGAACAAAGAAATTCTGTAGTGTTCACTTTTGTATAGAAAATGTTCCTCATTATCAGGAAATTTATCACAAGTAAAGGCTGGGAACACTATTTTTACCAGATATGACCAAAACGAGTTCTAATCAATTTGAAATTAATTATATTCAATATTTTACCTTTTGGGTAATTATTCATAATAATTTTATTTGAAATATTACTATTAGCAATTGAAGTCTCACATTTATTAGATTTTTCTCTTTTCTAGTGATTTCCCTACACTTATAGGGGCTGAACCCCCCTCTTAAAATCTCCAACACCCCCGAATTTAGAGGTGTGACACCACACTGTAAATTTCTAACTTGGGATATATTTGTATATTCAGAAAGCGGCACTTCTACCAGTGCATATGGTCAGAGAAATACATAGCACATGTTTATGTGTTGCAAATACTTTTTCATCTTTAATAGAAAAATATTTACCCCCCAAATTTGAACCCCCCCCTCAAAATGAAAAGATGGGGAGCATACTGCCTCTTATGTTAAATATAAAATCATCTTTTTCCAGAATCTCCAGATCATGAAGTTGAATACGCTCAATCACCATGGTCACGCTCCAGTGTTCACACGATTGTCTGAAGAGACATCTAGTGAGAGAGGTTTCAAGTATATTGACGTCAACTACGCTGAGAAGTGAGTTTGTCTTTATAAAATAATAACATTTTAGATAAAATCATGGTCTCGTATGTAGCGATTGACATTTACTGTGCATAATGCAACACCCTATATGCATTAGTCCCCTCTTAGATGCTTTCAGCACTGGTGCCTTCTGTTAATCTTTCAAATAGTATTTATAGTGTTATTTTGATTGGTAGATTCCAAATTTTATCATTATCAAACAAATCATGTATTGAAACCAGTTTTGTGCCCAGCATTGTGGCCCCTTCAACTGCTCTGTAGCTCTCGGTTGAGAACCACTGCTACATAAGCTAATTTATAATCCAAGGAACTCTTCCATGTCAGTGGTCACACATAAGCCTCGAGATGAGTCTTCTGACTTCTGTATGAGTGTGCGTAATGCACAACCATAAACGTATATAATTTCATCATCTCCTCGACTAGAGAAGAGTCACCTTTATTTCTGAATGAGTGTGTGTGATCTAGTGAGTTATTTTTGAAATGCTTAAGGAATATTCACATTCCCAGCGTCACTAATTATCATGCATCGATGACCAGTTCCTGAATTTAAACGTAGAATGTTTCAAAAAAATTTTTTGATTTGCAGACAATTGGCAACACGTATTTGTTCCAAAAAAATACCGTACATAAATCTCAATTCTACAACAGTTGTTAAGAATTATTGGTCAACAAACTAGAGAAGTGTTTTTAAAATTAGCCATTATTAAACACCCCACTGTATGATCGGCAAGCAGTCAAGCAATTTTACATAATCATCTTCTGAATAATTTGAACCCATTGAGAAAAATCTCTGATGAGACAATAAGAGTATCTCTAGCGCTCCCATGGATGACCAGTTTCTGATTCCACAGGATTTCTCTAATATTTTATTGAAGGTTCACTCAAGTTCATGGATAAGGTTTTCTCAGAAAAAGACATCTTTGACATTTTTGACACATTTTTGAGCCCATTGAGGGGTGAACATACCCCTATTCTGTCCCATAACTTTTATTTATACTCGAAGATGACTACTTTTATATAGCCTTATTTAGAGTGAAGGACACATGAACATTATATATAAAAATTTTACGTTTTATTTTCTTTCCGCAGAGTTGCTGCTCTTTCCACAAATCGGAAATATGAGAAATTCTCCAACAAAGGGTTGCCAGGTTATGATTTTGCAAGAAGGAATGGTGAGTGACAAAATGGAGATTTTATTCACAGTTTCTTAATTGCTGTATTTTTTTTCAAAACCATGACCATGTTGCACATCTTTAGATTTCAAGTAACGTTCTTAGTATTTTGCACCCATAAATTGTGAAGATCTTTATCCATAAGCCAAATCCTTGAGATCAGTGGTTTCGAAAATTGCTTATCACAAATTAATGGTTCATTAGCGAGTAATACGTGCAACTTACACTCAGGCTATTAAATAGAATTATTTGAATAATTCGCGAAATTCATACAGTAATTACTCTCAATAACTGTACTGAAATTTGAAATTTTAACATTTTATGTTTTAGAACCAGTTTTGTTTCCCTGAGATTTCCTTTTTCCAGTAAAATGTTGTACTTTTGTGTATGATTGGTTTTTTTTTGGTTGGGAAAATTAAACTCGACTTGAAATGTCTCCATGTGATTAATAAGTATTACAGCAATACTAAATAGAGTAAAAAAATGAGTAATACTACAAACAAATTCAAAGTTAAATATCCCCCAAAAGAAGGTTAATTCTTTCCTTCATGGTCAGAAAACGCTTGTCTAACTTATTATCATTCCAGGACTTTTCAAGTATGGCGCTCCAATGCCTTCAAATTCTTCGACCAATAACATGAAAGGAGGGCTGGATATCACCTTACTGGACACATCACCATCATCTATAAATTTTCTGAGTTTGCCGAAACATGATGTTCAGAATAACTTGAGGTTTGTTTATTTTGTTCTTATGGTTGAATGGTCTTAATCAGAGCTTCCTAAACTGGGGGTCGTGACCCCACAGTGGGGCGTGCAACTAATTTTAGATGTCACAAAGAGCACACCAATTTCCCACTAAGTACTATATCTATTTTTTCAGACTTTTGATTCAAATACACAAATATTATAATTAGTGCAAAACATAAATATCACGATTTCTAGAGAATACATAGGGTAAGAAAAGCGGTGCGCTTGCATATTTCGAACTGTTGGGGATCCCTGCTCTAAATAAGACTCCTAACAAGAATGAAAATAGTAGTATTTTCAGGATAAGTGAATTGATGAGATAACTTTTGGAAATTTGCTTAAAGCCTGGCCAGTGGCCACCCATGCTTTTCAAAAAATCTGTCAGAGTCTGATCTCTGAGCGAAGTTATGAGCTCTAACTCAGAAGTAAAGAATTGTATTCTGCATTATATGTAGTTTTTCAATTATGTTAACAATATGACCATTGTGACCTTGCTTTGACCTTTGAACCTCCTAATCTAACCTCTTCAGGCCCATTGGACAAAATGTTGGTGTAATTACATTCAATGGAATTTCTCTCCCTAACTATGGACCGAAGAGAAGATGCTTTCAGGTATGAAGAGTTGTCATATTGATTTTTTGTCAACCAAAATTTCTCCGTTTTCTCTTTTTCATTATTCCGTATGAATTCAGTAACTCTCTGCAGTAATTATAATAATTATTCACCCTATGTAGTAGTGTACCTAGCGTATGGCGGCCATGGCTTACAGCCTGGGCACCTTTGGATGGGGTTGCAAAAAGGGCAAAAAGTTTTCGTCAGATAATGTTACAAAAAAACAATTTTAACTTGGAAACAATTGAAACATATTTCTACATAAATAATTTGCCATGGGCGCCAATTTACGTAGCTATGCCACTGCACGACCGGCAAGCAGCCCAGCAATTTTATATATTCATCATCTGCATAATTCTATCTCTGAAGAATAATCTTCAATAAGAAACAACAAGAGTATCTCTAGCGCTCCCATGAGGCCTCAACTAATCATCATTGCCTTAAAAATTAATTGAAATTATCTTTCCAGGCTTATTCCAAAGATGGCATGCTGAATCTTCTCAACTCAAGAAACCGTCGCGCTAAACTGAGTCACATCGGACAAGGAAACTACGAAGATAAACGAGGAGTCGTGATGAGTAAACATGGACCTTTCTGGCCTCCGGGATATGGCCCTGTATGCAAGTGCCCATTGTAAGTTAAATAGAATGTTTTGTTTTGAAAACCATTGTTGCGGGAAGTCTCCTAGTCTCAAAAATCGTGTCTTGAGTCATTGGCGCTCCAGAAGTGTGTGTACCAATATGGAGGTAACTAATTTTTTTCGCCTACTTCACATCTAGTTGTATAAAAGGACTAAGGAAACCCATGGGCAGGGAGTATATTCACTTGGCTAACACAGGCAGTCTCCGAACTCATATTAGAACTAAAATAAGGAAAATCAAAATAAAAAACCTGGTACGCATACTACGGGAGTACCCAGTCATCTGCACAAAATAACTCAAACTCATCATCGACTAACATTTTGACATGTGACTCTGGAATTTATTGGCTTGACTTGGGAACAGAATTTTAAAATTTATATGGACTCTGGCTCAATTTGACAAACAACTGGGGTTCAGGGGCTTTAATTGTTAACCTAGCGGTTTTCAAAGGGGACGCCACGGCACACTAGTGCGTTTTGCTATATGTGCCCTGGAAAATTAACAAAATTGTGGTAAACATAACTAAAATATGATTGAATATTTCACATATTGCCTTTATTATAAATGGTTTATTGTTTCTTATTTTAAATGCTGTGTATATAAATCAATAAATTTTTTTTTAATTCCTGCCCTGACTCCAACGTTTGTTCTTTTTCAGATTCATTGACGATTGCAAAAAGAGAGAAGTATTCGGACCAAAATTAGGTTTGTTTTTTATTATTATTTTACCAGTCGGAATGAATTTACCCGAATGAAATTTCCATATTGATATTTTTAAAATTACATGATAATTATGAAGAAAAAAATCAATCAAATATAAGTGGATTTTCCATTGTGTAAAATACAAAATAAAACATCATATTGGCAGAAAATTCTGCTCACGCAACTAAATGTATCAGTTTGATAGGATAAGTTAACATTTATTTGTTTTACCAACCAACAGTGGCCAAACCCTATGAGTTTTTTAATTGAACACCGAGATTACTAGCGTTGGCACACAATTCATCTAAATCAATTAATGCATCTGCATCCCAAACTTAAATTTCTCAATATCAGGATAATCCTTTTTTCAGTATGAAATAATGTCCACTATGGATAATGCTCACAGACTATTGTTTCAACCTATTCGCCCTGTACACTTAAGATGATAATGACATAGCATTGTTATTGAAATAGCATTTCTTCATTGGTATCGGTATCGGGGACAAAAGTGGTATCGATACATCTCTAGGAGAAACTTGATGTAGTAATTTATGATTAATTCAAGTTCTAAGCGATGCCAAAAGTCAGTTAATGTCACAGAATCAAGATGTCAAATCACTGTTTTGTCGCATTTTATGCGATATTTCAGCTTATAGTTCCCAAATGTTTTGGCGGCACTTTTTTTAAGATTTTTTCATCTCCTCTTCTTCTCCAATTACTAATTTACTAAATATCTTTCCACTAGATGTCTCCATTGTTTCACACACACAAATATCTAAACTCAATTACTTTGTTTACTTTGGCGAGAGTAGTAGGATAGGGTCAAGTACAAATGACCCCTTTTTTATAGTAGGATGCTTCAGCAAGTCAATGGCATTCAAAGCCTTTATGCTACTTGACTATAGGATTAGGTTTGTAGAATTCTTGGTTTTTTACTAGTCATTATTTAGTTTTCACATGTGTGAAATAGTGCTTAAAAGGGCAGTGGGCGGGGCGGTGTTTTGTTAGGAGTTCCTTAAAACAACGTCATGCACACTCACTCAGAAGTGAAGATCATAATTTCTTGCACTCACTCGGAAATAAAAAAATTTTTTGCTTCTCTAACTGGCTTTTATTTAGTTTTTGAATGTGTGAAATGAGACTTGAGCCAAAGCTATATAGAAGTATAAAGTGCATTATGCTCTAGTGAACTTCTGCGGGTTTTTCTATGTATGAAAATGAATGTAAAATGGCAGAGTCAGCACTTTTCAAGAGGTAGGGCTCAATATTACTTATCATGTCCATCAGCTTCATATAGTTTTGTAATGACTCACTACCTTTATATCCCAGCTGCTTAATTGTTCTTTTCCACCTTGTTTGGTGCAGAGTCTTTACCTAATACTAAACAGCTTGATATATAGGTGTTGTGGCATACTAAAAGGTACATTGTCCATATATGTTTTGTATAGATATTGGTAGTAACAAATAAGACATTTGGCTTCAAGTCAGCTTCGTTGAGATTGAGTTTGATAAGTTATTGCCTATTCAAAAGTTGATAGTTAGGAATTCATGAGCATACTAGAACAAACCAATTAGAATTAATATGGAATTTTCAGCTCAGAATCGACCTCTTTTGTATTTTTTATTTCATCATTTTATGAATTTTGGATTCAAACTAAACTTTAAACTAAACTGGTAAGCAAAAGAGAGACTGGGATGCACATTTGCCGGCCATCGCATCGAATTTTGTTCTCCTCTAGAATTAATATGAAACACTGACTTACTCAAGAAACCTTCTGCCCAAAAACTGTCGAAAAAATGATGAGTTTAATGTTATAAAAATTTTTAGTTTTAAACTTGTATGGAAAGAGAGGCAGCAATTCCCAATTCAAATCAGAAGTCTCTCCTCTCATCTAGAAATAATATGACCAGGGAAGTCTTTTGCTTTGTAGCTGTCAAAGAAATCATGAGTGAATTCATTATTTTATAAATTTCACTCAAACATTGAGACAGGGCGAAAATAAGGTTAGATTGAACATGGCAATGAGATAAACGGTGCGAAAGTTGCTCATTTTATCTCCGATTCATATCAAGCCGTGTTTAAATATCCAAATACTTTTACTACGATCCCACGCACTCAAATGTACTTAATGGCCACTTCGCTGTCACAGTTCGTCATACAGAAGGACTCGTATCTATTGTTTTAAGTGTGTTATAAGTCCAAATACTTCTTGACGAGAACTGACGCTCGCTGACAAAAGACTTGATTAGGGATTTATATGTTGACAGGGATTGGAAGGTTTACAGTGTTTTTATTATTAAATTGATAAGGTAGTTGTTGCTTGAAAAATTTAGTGTTTCTATAGATTAAGTTCACAGAAGACTATCTTATAGATCAGGGCAAATACTTTTCTGAGTGGTTCAGATAGAGATAATAGACTTGCTTAGTGGGCCAGAGGCTCAAAACCTAATATGAAAAACTATGATTAAATACCAGCTAGTCAAGCAGCCAGACTAAAGTTCATATAATAATAAGCACAATGTAACAATCGAGGTCATTATGAAGCTATTTCCATCAATATTCTCAACGGAAATTTATATTCCTAAATACTATTTGTAATTCAGCAGACACAAGAGGGCTGGATGTCGTGTGTGGTGTTTTAAACACTTCATTCCGCAAATTGCCCACCAATCAATCCCATAGGTTTACCAGTATATTTATGTTTCTAGGAGAGATTAGATCTGTGATAAACATAGTCGATACCCTCATTATTGGATGGCGAACTTAACAATAGTTATGAAACTTTTAATTTGGTGTTAAGCCAAACAGTAAACTGAAATGTAAGTAATTGCTGTTTTAAGAAGAATTGAAATTTGTCCGATTTGGCTCTGCCTATCCTATTCATTAGATTATGGATGGGTTCCAGTGCCTCAACCATCATGTTGTCAAACCCATGTTCATTCTGTATAAATAAGGGGTGATTTTATCTTGTTTTGTTTGAGAGTGTTTTATTAGTCCAAGCGTCTATTTTACAAGGTATTTTACCGGACAGGAAACAGGATAGGATTTTAGTACTTAATTAATAGAAAGTTGATAAGATGACTCATTCATATTTTCCATGACGCTTGCATGTCTCTGCTCTAAACAAGGCTTTATGCAAGCAGTCACTGATATGCTGCTCCTTTTTGTAGAAAGCATCCATTATATTTATTGAATACTGTTTGATGAAGGATGCCATAACTGATCATTTAGACTCAACGATAGATCAGATACCAGAATTTCATAAATTTTTGCACTTCTCAACTGGATTCAAATTTCGAGAGTTTCAAGACAGAAGGTTTAAATGTCGAAATTTCAAAAAATTCCCTTTTTAAAATGTTACATGTATTCTTTAAGCTGGTTTCTGACCATGGTTAATAGTAAAATTCACGAAAGTTTTAAGAATCAAAATAATCTTTTCTGATTTTTTCAAAGTAGCCGTTTATAGGTTTAGACAGCCATGAGGCATTCCTTGCTGAGATAAAAGCTCTGGCCTAATTAACTCATTAGTAGCTATCCCACCCAATCGTTGAGACATTGCTTGTTGCCAACAAACTCAAAGCAAACAAACAAATAAATCCCAATTAGTGAAATGTTGACAAAACTCAAAGCACTTAGAATTACGTCATTTAGTTTTCAAGGGTTCTTCAGTGTAGCGAGGTATGTAGCAAGATTAGGCAGCTGGTAGTGGGAACCTGTTTATACTGAGTGGTGGGACTTTGGCCGATTTAGAATTGCTTTGTTAAAGTTATATTTAAAAGCATTTTTCTAAAAAAAATCTTTAAATTTGGACGTTGGTGCGAGTTGTGACAACTTTAGCCCAGTTTAATTTGCTTTGTTGAAATTATATTTACGTAAAAACATTTTTCTCAAAACATTTTGTTCAAATTTGGACATTGCCATGAGTTGTATGATCTTAAGCCCATTTCAGATTTGCTTTGTTGGAAATTATATTCAAAAATGTTTTGTAATAAATTTGGCTCAAATCTGAACATCAAAAAAACTTGTTTATACCGAGTTGCGAGAACTTTTGCTTATTAACACTTGTTTCGCTGGAAATTATATTTAAAAATTTAAACATTGGGCGTGAGTTGAAAGAACTTTAGAACATATAGATTTGCTTTGTTGAAATTATATTCAAAAATATTTTTCTGAAAAAATTAGCTGAAAATGGAAAATTGGCGTGAGTTGCAACAACTTCATCCTATTCAGATTTTACCGAAAGCTACTGAAAACATATGAAATTATGGTGGTGCAATAAACGCTAGTAAATGCCTTTTGTCACAAGAACATATTACTAAGTAAATATTACCAAGAAACAGCTTAATAGCATTGGCAACTGGATTTCTTTTTTCAAGTTTGAGTGTAAGCCTTGCATACATACGGTATGTTGGAATTTCGGAGCTTCAGAAGTATGTGTACCAAGATGGCACGCAACCTGAACATGGTATGTGTACCAGGTTAGGGTTCAGGTTGTGTGACAACTTGGTACACATACTGCGGGAGCTCCAGAATTTTTAGTCTGGTTTTGGAATTCTTTTCGCTAGGAAATCTGTATGATTTAACATTCAAACTAAAACTTATGTTCCTGTCGATTTATCAATTAATTATTATTATATTAATCTAATAAGTTTAAATAGAAAGTAGTATGGTTCTCTGTACTGAAAGGCAAAAGAGTGTTCACTTCGAAAGTCAGCGGCGTTTTGCTAAGAATACAAGAAACTTAGATACAACGTATGCACATAAGCATGATTATGTGTCATTTATGAACATTGGGAACACTCAAATTCCAGTATCTTTAAAGGAACGCACTCCTAGTTTACCAGTTCTTGCTTCGGTGCCTCTTGGAAAGAAATTCAATCATAAATTTTGGGCTCGACAAGGAGGGAATTGTAATAGTGCGGCAAAACGTTTTACCGCTTCTCAAAACAACTGTGAAACTGATTTTAGTAACTTGCCTGATACTGCACAAAAAGATCTGAAACGCTTTCTTGACCTAACCCCAAAAGAATTCAAAAACTGGCCAAATTTGAAAAACATTCCCAAAACGCCAAAATCAAGTTACGCACGTCGACAGAATCAACTTAAAACAAAATTCAGAGAAGATTTACTTCCATATCTAGTGTATAGCAAACATAAGCCTCCGTTTGGGGGTAAATTTCAGCCAGGGGGTCACTTGTTACCCCGTAGCATGTTCTGGCCAGCATTAAACACTGATCTTTTTCTACCCAACCGTCCAAAATGGCCAAGGGAACGCTGTTTATTTGTGAAAACTCCTAAAATGTTGGAATCCGTGCCCCATACTACAGAAGGTCTTTGGGATATTGAACCAAGAAAGAAAACGCGTAAGTATATGGAGCATCGAATTCATATTGTTACAACGGTGCTGGTCTCTCCGTAAAAGTCTCAAAACCCAGGGTCACGATTTTATCTCAGCAGGGTCTCATTGGCATTTAGTTGAGCACCGAGTCCTCTTAGAAGTCACTTTGAGTCTGTATTTTCTCCAGCTTTTCAATTTAAGAGGGGTGTTTCCAAATTTAGGGGGGTGGCATATATTTTGTTATTAGTGCTAAAACTATTTGGTACTTATAAAAATGTGTTCACCCCCTAAAGGGGGGTGTAGGGAAATCACTGCCTTGAGTGTATGGATAAATGGACACTGGGTGAAGGACTCTAGCGTTCTCAACAGGTCAAGGGTCATTCGAATCTGTTTGATTCTGAATGATTTACTGAGTTAGGTCTCATTATCGGTTAGTTGAGTATGATCCATTTAAATGACTTTAGTCCAGTGGTTCCCAAACCGCGGCCTGCGTAACGATTTAATATGGCATGTGTAGATCCGTAACAATTAAGTTCGGTATCTTAACAGTTTGGTATCTTAATTATACACGACAGTATAGATATCGGCCCTTTGCAAGCGCCCCCCTCTCCTGGCCCACGAACATCCTTCAGCTCTTAATTTTAGACACCGGTCAATCAACTTAGGGTACCACTGCTGTCGTCGCGTCGCGTCTTTGATAAGTGGTGGCACGAGTCAAGCCGATGAATCTTTTAAACATTCCCTTGCCATAGATTTTTATAAATTCAGATCCCTCTCTCAAGATGCAAGCTAGCGGTGCTTCCACAACTTTTGGAAGATCGGTTGCCAACAATATGGAAACAAAATGGCGTCAATTACATCAGCAACAAGGAGACGGCAGACATTTTATGTCCAATAACAACAACGGATCAGAAACTTCAAGATCTTTGAGATCTGAACGTAATCACCCAACAATCGGAGAATTTTATTCAAATGACAACAGCGATAATCGCCATAGAAACCATCACCATGGTGATAAACTACAAAATGTAAACAACAAAGAACAGAAGGTTTGAATAGATCTTGTGGTTTTTTAAGGGTCTGAGATATTATTGCAAAAAATTGAAGAACCTCTTCACTAAGCCAAATTAATAGTCCATAAACAGAATAAGTGCGAAGATAGAAATTTAATCAAAATATTGCCCATTTCAACATTTCAAATTATCAAATTAAGTTTTTCCATTATTGGACACCAATATAGCTCATCTAAACTATTTCAAATTATCAAATTAAATTTTTCCATTACTGGACACCAATATCGCCCATCTAAACTATTTCAAATTATCAAATTAAATTTTTCCATTACTGGACACTAAATGTTTCTACGGATCGTTCTGTTACCATTATGTTGATGTTGTTATACTTATTCTTTTTCTTGTTACTTCATGGAAAAATCGCTTTTCTCATTAACTAATGGACCAAGTACTTTAAAATTTTCAGTGGTTAAAAATTGTATTATTTGCTAGAAGACGATTTTTTTTGTTATTTATTCCTAAATTTTCTTTGAATGCTATGAGATCTGATATTTCATCCAAAATTTCGCTTTTTAATCTGCCAAGCGTGACGACCATTTTTGACAGGTCGTAAGTATAACACGGTTTTAAGAAACTCATGATCGTTATCCCAAGGCCACACTATTAAACCAAATAAGTTTAATTACCGTACTCGTATATTAATCCGTTCTTGCTTCTAACAGTTTAGATCAAAGCAAGATATTGCCCAAAGAAATTGTTGTGCCGATATAGGCCCATGGCACTAGCCATTGGGCCATTCCACCAAAAACTTTTTGATCAATATTTCATCCAATTCATGAGTCCTGTTGCACACTTTGTGGTATACATATGTGTTAGTATCAACATTCCCTCTAAGCTGGCCGAGAATCCCCGCACAGTACTTTCGTTCTGCCGCGTACTGCACAAGTATTAAAAATGTTTAAAATGTTGTGTTCTTCTCTATTTTTCCTAATTTTCCGCGCAGACCTTTTTTTGGGGCTCACATGGCCTTCTATTCCGCACAACTAAGCAAGCTCTCAGAGAGAATGCTTCGGGGATTCATTAACTCATTTTATTCATTTTTCATGTTATATGTTGACTTTTAGTAAAAATGATGTCATGCTATCAAAGAGTTATGAACGCTCAAACGCTTCAAATCGTTTACAGGGCGACGAAAATTCTGTCCGAGCATGCCAAGAAAAGAATTATTTATGAAACAAAGCACCCACGCGAAAGTATAGTATCAATATTGGTAATTCCCCGATAGCAGCAGGACTCCTGAATTGGATAGAATAGTCATGTTTATTCCTGCTATAGCATCCTTGCAGTATACGCACCACTAGCACAGGGGTTCTCAACCTGTGGTACGCGGGAAGCTTTGAATTATTGCAACAACCGACTTTTGAGGTGGCTAAAATATGGCAGACACGCTTTATCTTCCATGACTGAATGTATTCACTTAATAGTTTATAGCATTACCAGTCTCTTCTCTCTAATGAGCGCTCTCGCCCGCTACTGCCACCTAAAAAGAAACGAGACGGGCATATTTTCGCCCGTTTCACATGTTATGTCCACAATGCATCAGCATTGAGAAATTGGCAACGAAGGGAGCGTTCGGACTTCGGAGGGTGGTCGACGCGTGTCGAGATACCCTGATAGAGCCTAGATACGTCATAAAGATGTTACTATTACTGCCTGATGAATGTGTTGGCTGATCGGCATAATCTTGACTTTTGAGTCCAAATAATTTGAAGATTAGGTTAGGCAGTTTCGGATAGCGGCTAGCGCCGACCGAAGTGTATTTGTCCGAGTTTTGCGATGATTCAGTGGTGGCGATGATTAGAGCTGACTGTAAACGACGCAAATTCTCTCGTGATTTTGCACACAATTATTACCTTGTTACTGCATATAATTAATACGTTGAAACTTTGCACGAAGCTTTAAAAAGGGTTGAAGTGCCACATAAAATACTACCATAGAGCGTTTCTTGCGCCATTGTTCCCTGCCACAAAAGCGGTTTTGTCGGTGGTAGGCGGCCATGGTATGAAACACAAAAGTGGTACGTGGTCAGTAGAAGGTTGAGAACCACTGCTAGCATAAAGGAGTTAGTCTCGCAAATCAACTCAAGGATCATTCTTCTGCTCACATCTTTAGTTAGTAATCGCTGGCGCCAACCGCAATAGATTCAAGAGTCTCTTCACATAATACGCTCTATTATGTATTCAAGTTCACTCTGAGCCTCTAATATTCAGCTTGCTTTAACATAAGACTACTTTGAAATATAAATACTAAATAAACTTACTTCAGTTGGCTCATGAGTTTTCATGGTCGATTACTTTTTTGAAAGAGATTCTCAGTGTAAATTTATAAAATCGTATATGGCTATTTCTGATCATATTGAAATCTGTGTTATTTGAATAGGTTCCCACTGGCATTTTAGACAAGTCCATGCATCTGAAACAAATAACTGGTTGATCATTCCATACCCGCAATGGACATTTCAAGCAGATGAAAGGCTTGTCATATGATTATGCCATCTTATCGGCTTCTCCTTGGATAAATATAAAAATCCTGACTCGGCGGTGTGGCGCATCGTTAGGAATGCATTCACCACCCTGCGTGGGTTCGCAGTTTTGAATCCAGTGGGGATATTTATCTGCGAGCAGATTGCTGGACTCCTCGAATAACTGCTTATCGGTTAAGACTTTGTTCATCATCAAGTCCATGCATCTGAAACAAATAACTGACTAACTAATCCCATACCCGACATGAACTAGTAACCAGACGAATGGTCATGGTTTGCCATATGATTGAACCCTCATGTTGGATTCCCTCTACTCAGAATAAATATAAAATCCTGGGGGCTCCCGAAGTATGCGAACCAAGATGGCGGACATCGGAATGTAATATGTGTACTAGGTTAGGGTTAGGCCATAATTTTAGGTATAAATACTACGGGAGGCTCTTGGCTAGTCTTCGAACTGATAATAGTACTAAAATAAGGAAAATTGGAAAAAAATTATCGCCTAACCCTAACCTGTTACCCATGTTACGTTCCGATGTCCCCATCTTGGTTCGCATATTTCGGGGGCACCAAACCCTGTCCTAAATCTTATATATTAGAGATTTTCTCTTATTTCCAGCAATGACAGCAACATGTTTTAGCAATATTTTATTTTCCAGCAATGGCGAGGCAAGCCTGTGATCTATGATTGTGAGCGTTCATCTCGAGCTCCTTTACCTCACGCAATACCTCACGGATTCCCCGAATCTCTCATCTTCGAGTCAAGATTTGAATCTGGGAATCTAAGACAAGTTCGGAGAATGTAAGTGCGGAAAATGATCGTTGATAGTAAACATGTAGACCATTATTAAAGTCAATAATTGATAGCAGCCAAAAAAGTAGTAACAGAGTGACCTAAAAAAAATCATTATTTGCTTCTACCAAAATGAAGAAAATTGGTTTAACAGTTGAATTTTTACTCATGTATGATTATACCCAGAAGATTCAGAAATTTAGGATGCTTTACATAAAAGTTATGTTCTTCAAAAGTACTGCACATAACTCTTTTTTCACCGTCGAAGTTGGAATTTTGTGAGCCACTGAGATAATGCTCTTTTCCCCAGTCTCCAGCCTTAAGTTATACGGGATACCTTAAACTTTCATAAATCATTAGTCTTATTATTTCAGTGGTGAATTTGAATACGAACTTGTTCTCCGAACCGACATGTATACAAAACGACACACCCAGTGGTATTATTTCAGAATCCAGAACGCGCAACGAAACGTTACTTATAAATTCAACATCATCAATTTCCTGAAGAAGGACAGTTTGTATAATTACGGTAAGTCTAGTGTTGTCGTAATAGAAGTTCAGATGGGCTTAACCTCCTCCTGCCACTTCTAATTTAAATTTTTCCAAAATCTTTTCTATGTGCAAGTTTGTACAAAGCAAAGTATCAGTCAAAGAGTGCTGATAGAGAAGTACCGGTAAGTAGAAACAAGGCATTGCACTATCTTTCAGAAGTTAGATAATGTCAAATTTGAATTCCTTGTTGCCATATTTCAACACTACCATTGTCAAATTTTACTAATGTTATTGCTTCTTTGGACATATGGAGCACTTTGAGAATCTATATTTCAAAGCTCTGTGAATGCACAAGTGAATGTGTGAAAACGTCTCCTAAATATACAGTAAGGGTGTGTAATTATACTAAATTTTATGATTAAATCTTATCTATTTTTTCTACAGGAATGAAACCGCTTATCTACTCTGAAAACCTGGCAACAGAGAAAAAGTTGGGCTGGCACAGGAATGGTGAAAACATCAAATATCTTCCATGGACGAATCCTACAAGAAATGGACTTTTATCGTTGGATTTACAGTATTATAACTTAGAGTTTGAGGTAAGGGATTAAACATTAAGCAGTAGGATTTATTCGAAGCCATAGGAACCAGGATTGTGGAGTCGGGCTGTTATGTTATTTCATAGTTTGGGGTTCTTGAAAAGCAACACTCAAAAATGTGTTTCGCCAAACCAGCTATACCCGAACTGCTAACTGCACTAGAGCCCTTGGTTTTTTATATCATTTTCTATGGTACGAGATTTGTATGGTACAAAAAACATGAAAACTTATAACTTATACAACAAAATCATTTCTCAGAGCCGACAAAATTATGAGCAATTTCAGCTCCCCAAAATTTTCCAATTCTAAAATTATTAAAAGCATTTTGATAAACTGAAAATGTGGAATCTCATTCTCTACAAGAGAGCCGCATACAAATACCTCAGTAAAATCGCGAGCCGCGCCTTTATTTAACATAGGCTTTCTGGTTTTTGCAATCACAAAAATTTCTCACTGATTATTGATTTGAAGACATGCGTTGTTCGGGGGCCGCACATCATTTAAAATTGTACACCCCTGCTTTACATTTCTTCCTACTTCGTTTGTCAATATTTTTCAGGTGACCTTTGACTGGGAGAATCTTGAAGACGACAATATATACTTTGCACATTGCTATCCGTACACATACACAGATTTGAAAAGGCATTTGGACAATTTGATGGCTGATCCTGACCAATCTCGACACGTAAAGCGAGAAGTCTTATGTGAGTCTACGGCGGGAAACGCTTGCTTTCTGCTTACAATCACTGAATTCCCAGACAAGGAGAAAGATAAATATAAAGACTTCCATCAGGTAATATATCGCAACACTCCAAATTTAAGTTTTGAAAGAAGTTTGAGTTTGACAGACTACGTGTGATAATTACCTCCACATTGCTTTTACTTTGACTTGGTTATTTTGGCACAACACAACTACCTGCTTTTTATGCGTTTCGAAATTTCGTCAGGGCAAGCCCCCATATAAGAAGTAATCACACGCCATCATATAATTCAATGGTTTTCTCACAGGAAAAGAAAGGTGTTGTTGTCACAGCTCGAGTCCATCCCGGGGAATCTCAGGCCAGTTGGATGATGAAGGGAGTTATTGATTTCTTGACTTCGGATTGTTTGAAAGCAAAGTTACTGAGAAAGAAATTTGTTTTTAAAGTAAGTGATCTAGTAATTGAGTTTATAGGGTGATGTCTGTTTTTTGCTAGGGTTTATAATTTGTGGCCTTGACCAATTGTAAAGACTTGCGCTCCAGAAGTGTCGGTTCCGATATGGAGGTAACTAATTTTGCTCCCCTACTTTTCATCGATTTAAGTAAGGGGACTCAGACCGATGGGCAGGGGGTATATTCACTTGGCTAACACAGACAGTCCCCGAACTCGTAATAGAACTAAAGTACGAAAAATCAAAATTATGGCCTAACCCTTACTTGGTACACATACTACGGGAGTACTGACTTATAATTAGCAAGTACACTTAGAGTCGTAGCCAAAATCATATTTACAAATACCTAAGATTTGGGAATCAAAATTAGGAATTTCCAGAGTGTACTTTTCAAATCTTATGACCAATTGAATTTCATCGTAGGTATTTTCTTATCATATCTTCTCTCTCAAATTTGGTAAAGACTTTGGTTTAACAGCTTAATACCTATCTGTAATGGTGTCTCAATTCAAAGATATTCAGTCCAACCAGCATGTCCACCTGTGTGTAATAAATCTTTGCAGCTAATTACTAGAAACTCCAGTTTCTTGAGAGATATAGCTCATTTTTTCAGGTTGTTCCAATGCTGAACCCAGATGGAGTAATTGTAGGCAACTACAGAACATCACTGGCTGCAAGAGACTTGAACCGCAATTACCGACATCCGAGACAAATGACGTTTCCAACTATATGGCACACAAAACAAATGGTGGAATCATTCAGTAAAGATCATGAGGTATTGCTATAGTGTAATGGTTAGACGACATGGTGCCGGATCCGACCCTCTGGAGTGTTTCATCCTACTTGTGTATGCTGAAATTATGACTATAGTTTTTATGAACATTTAGGTATATATATACCGTATATGCTCATTTTACCGCCCGATCTTGATTAAGGGCCTGTTTGAATAGCCGCCCGTGTGAACAGAACATAAAAATAAATAAGGGCCGGTGCTTGAATACCCGCCCGATGTAGAAGCTGATTTTTCAGTGGTAGAGAACAATGGGAAATAAGAAGCGCTTTTGTCTCAACGCTGTTGAATTTTAAGCGATAACACTCACGCCTTAGGCGTCCTGATTACGTAACACCGTGGTTCTTAAACTGGGCGTCGCGACGCCCAAGTGCGTCGTTTCAATATTGATAGGGCATCGCAAAACTTTTCTTCTTTTGCGGATTTGTACCTGCGGTGCGTAGAAAAAAGTCGGGAGTTTTCGTTATTATCGTTTAAATCATACTTGAGAACTGGAAATGACAATATATTAATTATTGTAATGATCGATCTTATCTATATATATATTTGTTTTTTTATATATTTTTGTGTATAATTTTACTTTAAAAATAACAAGCGCCTGTGCTTGAATAAGGGCCGGTTTGAATAAGTTTGATTAAAAAAATATGGGCCCGGGCTACAAAACGAGCAAATACGGTATACCTTTTAAAATATCGATGATATAAATGCTTTTTCTATCAATTTTCTCTGTGCCCTAATTTGCCATCCTCTGTAATAACGTCCCATTAATCGTTGTGTCTAGTTATTTGCAAATAAATCGTTTTTAATCATATTGAGTTTTGATCCTCCTGCCCAGTAATCAAGTCTGTGAATGTTTTGGTCAGATTACTTTACCAGACACTTGTAATCATTGTGCCATTACTTGTTGTTACTTAGTAATTATTACTTGTTTACATGTTTATGTGAGGGTGTTACTTCAGTGTTTGTAACAGGCCTGGGTAAAGGACCTGTATATGTGTATCTGCCTTGAGGACAAATAAACTTTTCAAAGTCTATTATTCGCATCTCTCCCACTCAGGAAAGTAATTGCCCATCCCTGGGTAAGACTGTTAGACTTTTAATGTTTGCACACATCTTTGCTCACAGATCATTTCTCTGAGTTTCCATTACCTTGCTTTGAATAAATATTCTTGAAGACGATAAATAAAAAAAGGAGAATATCGGTCAGAGACGAAGATGTAGGGATCGAAAGTTAGGGGATCCCCCAAAACAGCGCTCTCACTCCATAGTGACACCTTGTGTCCCATCACTAATTAATTAATAACTCGCTAATTATACGACGTAATTCGCCCAAAATCAATAGGCTTTTGGTCCGAGCTATGATGAATGCACATGCAAAATTTGGAGCAGATTCAACCTCGCTTTCGTGAGATATCGTGTGCATCTAACAGACAAAATACCTATCAACATACTTACCGATTAAAATCGATAAGTAATAAGTGTGATACGCAATGATTACAAAGTTGCGGAAACTTGCGCTCGCTTTCTCAGAAATAATCTCATTCTGAGGTATGCCATACCCCCACCACACCCCAAAACCAGCCAATTAAATCATCAATACACTTACCCTGCATATTTATTCTTTTTAGATCATCCTGTATTGTGATCTGCACGGCCACAGTAGGAAGCCAATGGTCTTCATGTATGGATGTGAAAGGAAAGCTCTATATACTGGGAAGAATAGTAAGTGGATAATTATTGGAAAAATTTATGTTATTTGTCAGCTTAACTATCGCAGGGTTTATGCAGTGGCATAGCCAGGAGTTTTCAAATGGGAGGTTTTAAAATGTCAAGCTTTTCAAGTGTCTTGAGGACCTGAAAAACATTTTAATCTATGAAAGATTGCTATGAATACAGAAAATTGTTTTTTTTCTACATTTTAAGATATGCCATGTTGAAAAAAATGAGAAAAATCATGTATTTTTGATTTTTTTTATTGAATTTAAATATTGCCTCAATCTATGATTTGAAAACCCAATTCTCAAACAAATTCAAAAATTTAACATTCGCATTCTGTCTTAAAAACTTTGAATTTTTTTATTTTTAGGTAAAAATGTTGATCCCGATGACCGAAGTCCGAGAGATTGTGCAAAAGATTTTATTGAAGAAAGATTGTTTCCGTGGTTGATGCATAAAAGATCACCTGAAAGGTTCGTTTAATTGAAGCAATGAGCGGCCTAAAGAAATTTGTAAAAGCTAAGTCCATGTGTCTGAAAGAACTAACAAGTTACCTGACTATTCCCTTACCTTACATCAGGGATGGGACTTCTCTAGTAGGCAGGCCAGATGTGGGAAAATGGGGGAAAATTCTCGACGGGCCGGATTATTACAAAAAATACTTTTGTATCCAATCTTTGTTAAATGCTTGACACTCTCTGTCAACTTTACGTTTCTTGGGATATTCCATGATTAATAAAACTTAATATAATACCTAATTTCTAAAATCTATATATATTTAGAATCTAAATATAACTGATATCAGTAGTGGGGAATATCCACAACGCTCTCTGCTTTGACATTATATTGTTTGTTTTACAAGTGTGCTAATGCAATTGTTTGTTCACTAAGGCAATTGTTTATTTCACCAGCTCGCACTGACAGTGCGGTGAGAGTAGAGCGATCAGCAACTTTCGAAAATGATGCGTCGGACCACATTACAGAGTGTGGTTGGATACAGTCAGCGGGCCGGTCAAAATCTCGTCGCGGGTCGTATGTTGCCCACCCCTGCTTTACATGCTAACTTGATGAAATGCTGTGGCCCGTTATATGATTATGTCATTTTAGGGCTTTCCTCTCTCTTTTGAAATGTAATAAAAGGGCATTTTTCTGTATCAAGCATAGCAATTTTCGAAGCCTAATCACCTCTTAGACCCGGTGGTCCAAGGTTGTCGGCTCCGCGGGCCACAAATTAATTTTTTTATTGTTGGCGGGCCACATGTCTCCGAATGTGACGTGGGCCACAGATAATGGAGTGGCGGGCCACCTGGGTTTGGACCTTCCTGTCTTAGATCCTCAAGACTTTAAACTCACATTTACCGGCGGACCCGGTGATCCCGCGGACTAACTAGGCAGTCAGGAATTTCTGGAACCCCTTCTTTCTGATTTCCAAAATTTCTGGCTACGCTCTGTGTGCGATGGTAGTCTAACGACTCAATACTCGAACAATTCAGTAGTCAACCAAAAAATTTTAGTCAAAAATGCTGCAGTACTCAAAACGAAAATTTAGTCCTCGAACATCCGAGTGCGCCAACCGAGTGAGGAAGCGTCACTTGTACCGTGCATCCTGACTGCCTCTTAATTACCATAATTTCTATCTTCAGATTCTCTTTCCATGGCAGCAAATATGCGGTAAGAAAATGTAAAGAATCAACGGGACGTGTTGTCATGTTTAGACAATTTGGGATTTCTAATAGTTTTACTCTCGAAGCCTCATTCTCAGGGACAATGCAGAAAAAATGGTAAATACCAATTTTAGTCTCTCTAAACAAGATTAATTTTATATTGAAAAAATCAAAAATTTTACAACTCATTATGATGATAATTCAAAAATCTGCCATGTTAATATCGGGATGAGTGTTAAATTTTCCCGAATTCAATTTTTAGTGTAAATGTGACTAACTAATAAAGTTTGACTCATTTTCATTTATTCACTTGTGATATAAATGTCAGTTCTTGGGGAAATTCGTGACTTGTAATTTTTGTGAAATTTCAACATATTTAGCTTACAAACAACATCTAATGTTTATATAATAATATGAAGCACAATGTAGGTAACAATCAGGTTCTTTATGGCAATATTTTTATCCATAAAAACTATTGTTGGAATTCCAGCAGACATAAGTGGGCCGGATGAGGAAACTTTGATGGGCCACTTCTGGAGCACTTTTAACTATAGTTTCACCAGTACAGTACTGGGGTTAAGAAAGTTTGCATTCAAATTTAAAATATCGGTGGTTCCAAATATTTTATGGCTTGTAGCCCCATACTGGGGGCTTTTAGCACTCGTGGCCCCCTGTTTATCATTCCAGTGATATTCATAGTGTTATTCTGGTAGAATACAAATCCCATTATGTTCAAACAATTCATGCTTAACAAAGTGAAAACACTCTGATGGGCTTTGATGCCTTCGATCTGGCATGCGGGACATAGTTTTTCCATCCCTTCTATAGTGGGATGCCTAATGATTTGCACAATGTGACAACTTTTAGGGCATCATACTTGATTCTACTCTCTCTTGAACTTATTTTCAAAATCTTTTCAGGGATTCTGGGCGGCATTTCAACATTGAGGATTTTCTCTCAATCGGTCGTTCTCTCTGCGAGAGTGTTTTAGATTACGAGAGAGTTTTAGACAACCCGCTACTTAAATCAAGGCTTGTGATGGAGTTGACTAAGGACTTGGCACAACATGTGAGTAAATAGCGCGGCGGTGTGGCTCAAGGGGCTAAGCGTTAAGAGTACGCTTGCCACCGCACCTCTAATTACTCTGCGTGGGTTCGCTGGTTCGAATCCCATGCAGGGATGGTTATGTGCAAGCGGATTGCTGGACTCCTCGCCGTCGTTGGGTGGTTCACGTAACGGCTGGTCGGTTACGGCTTCCTCCACCACCAAGTCCATGCTTCCGAAAAAAACAAACAATATAACTAATCCCATACCCGACTTTGAATGGTAATCGGACGAGAGGCCGTGGTACGCCATATGGATAAGCTGTCTTATCGGCTTTCCTCTCCCCCGGGATAAATATGTAAATCTTATCCTATCCTAAAAGCACATACATGACAGGATTTTTTATATATTTATTCTGGGGAGAGGAAAGCTGATGATGGAGTGGAGAACACAGTTTTTGAAACTGTGTTATGTGATGAAACTGAATTAGCCCACCTAATGTGGCCAATGTGTCACCATCGCCGAGCGATCTGAAATGTTAATAGTCGCGTGGCAAATCTTGGGTTTTATTTGGTTAGCGTGCGTCAAGGTTGCTACATCTTGTAACTTGTTCTTTATCTTGTTTTAGTATAGTAGTAATCTTTAAGTTAATAAAAGCCTAGAAAACAGTCTAAATGAGTTTTCCTCGAATGGTTTCACTACATGTTACTTTCAAGGCATGTATGGTCAACGGTGTTGAGGTTTTTCTGGAGATCATCACCTAGTGGATCGTATTGAATGTACACTTGTGTATTTTCAATATAACATCGCCAGACCATCTACCTTTTCATTTTCACTATGTATAAGATATCCATAAAGTCTTGGAACTCATCAATACCATATATTGTTTTGGCCACAGATGTATTGAATGAAGTGAAAATGATTGAACAATTACTGATTAAAAAACAACAAACCAGGTTAAGAGATATTGAGAAATTATGTCATAACAAAATTGAAATTGTAAAGAAAATTTATGTTTATCTTAGGAATCCATCTGACATTAGTGAGCCTTAGCGTTGGTTTATAATTGTTCCCATGTTGTCATGGCTATTCTATTAAACAACCTCTATTCTTGTGAGTTTTGTCAAGCTGACCATTCGGCGGAGCACACTCCAGAGATTACGATCGAATAATTCATTTGCTCCTGTCAGTTGTGGTGAACTTGCGTTGCTGTAAACTTCTTAATTGATACAATGTTTGACTTTTTTCTTTCTCCTGATTACTGTTAGACTTAATCACAGGTGTCGCTGCCTATTAACCAGTATTGATTTTTTACGCCCTCTTCACCCTGAAATACCATTTTTACGTTTGTTTTTATATTGTTTGTACAATGTGTATTTACATGATGGTGAAGAAATAAAATACTGAATACTGTTGCTTAACTGAGGCATCATTGTACCTGTAGCAATACACAAATTTTCGTGTTTATATACTTGTGCACTATTCTCTATACAGATGATGGAAACAAATCCACAAATAATGCAAAACCCAACAACATCAGCTCCTGCCACTCAGCAGCAATCTTCTACAATAAGCAGTGAAACTGGCAACAGTAAAACCAAAAGTATGGATAAAGGTGGGAAATGCTTATTTTGTTAGGACTTAGGATTTACATATTTATCCCGGGGGCGAGGAAAGGTGATAAGACGGCTTATCCGGTGACCGTACATTTGAACCCACGTACATTTGAACCCATGCGTATATCCACGGGTTCAATCTATATGCGGGTGCTAAAACCCATGGGTTAGGGTTAGTATGAGTTCAACTATCCGAAAAACAAAAAAAAATCCATAGGGGTCATGGGTTCAAATGTACGTGGGTTCAAATGTAATGGAACCGGCTTATCCATATGGTGAACCATGGCCTGTCTTTTTACCAGTCCATGTCGACGGTGGGATCAGCCAAGTCGAGGTTTTCTGATGCATGGACTTAGTATGTACTGTTTTAGCATGACTTTATGTTAGCTCTGCTTGATAACTAGTACTGGATCATACTCTCACTTCACTCTGAAATGCTCTTTTCAATTTACATACTGATTACAAATAGTGCATTATCAATATGAAGAAAATATGCTACTTTTTGAGAAATGAAATGTGGCTATTGCTTAGCCTTACAGTAATAAAATCAAAAAAAAAACTTGTATTTTTACATTGTGAGCGGATTAGGATTTCATGATTGCAGGGGAAAAATCTGTTTACATGGGCCACACTTGATGACTTGATAGGGGGGTGGGGAGGCCCCTGGTTTTTCAAAATTTAAGTTGTCATTTTACACTTAAATGTCATGGTATAATGTTTCCTCTTAGAATCCAAGAGTCCAAAACAGCAAAGAGACCCAAAACGTCCAATTGCCCTTCGTGCTTCTGATGATGAAGAGGGAGGGAAACAGAATGGCAGTAAACAACCAATCAAACAGCAGAACAAAGCTGGAGTAACAGGTGGATGATCCTAAAAAAATACAGAATTCAGAAATATCTGAATTACTTATATGACAATTTATTTAAACTGGAACTCCTCTAGGAAGCTTTGCACAGAAGTCAAGCCTTTTATAGAATACGTTCCAAATGATCTGGGTTTCGTCTTTCTGATTCACCTTGAACTGAATATTGAACATAAATGACTCATTTTACTTACGGGGTATTTGCGGTGAAGGAAACATTTTGAAGCATGACTATGAGTCTCACACAGAAAAGAATACGCCTTATTTAATTAATACATTGTTAAAAACTCTCAATAAATTTTATTTTTATCCTCCAAGTTTCGATATAAAATCTGGAATTTATTATCCTCATTAAGAGTTTGAAATCTAGCTACAGGGAATTCAAAACTTTGACTCGAGAACTTCGACTTCTTCGAGAACTTCGACTCCAATGCAAACATTCCAAGCCCAGACTCGACGGCTCCTTTTTCGAAATAATTTACAGCTCTAGCACTTGCTTCTAGGTTCCACAGACAAATCAATACTGAAATCAACTCAAGAAACTGAAACTTCTATTCCTGGACCTCCTGAAGAGATGAAGGAAGAGGCTGAAAACCAGGAAAATGAAGAGAAATCTTCTGAATTAGATGAAAATTGTTTTAGATTGTTGGAGCAAATTAATTTTAAGGAAATAGCCATTGAATCAGAGTAAATGTTTTGTTTTGTATATTTTCAATGTAGTCATTAAAAAAAGTGAAATTACATTTTTATGCCCAAGTTGTTTTTCAATAACTCAAGTTATATGGAATTCACCCATCATAGCTGTTTTGCTGATTATATTGACAATCTTGTGTCAATCGGTATTTATCAACCTGCAATTCCACAAAATAATCTCTTTCTCTCTGTAGCATTTAAGTGATTGCCTGTAACTTTGCTCAGACATTATTCTTCTTTATTTCAGAGCAAGTTCACATAACCTGTAAGCAAATGCCATCAATGCCAAGCTTCAAATTGAAGCCCATTTATCCATAATCACCCGGACACGCTCATTTACTATTCTCGTTTTTATTCACAGCACAAGTTCTGACAGCGACAGTGAATCGGAACCAGAAATGCCTGAAGAGCAACCAAGTTCGAATCGGCAGAAAAAGAAGAAAAAAAGGAAGAGAAGGCCGAGGTTTGTGACAATTTTGGTTATTCAATAAGTTTTTCTATAGATTGTAAATGCTTTATTGAAGGCTATATGTTATCAGTAGATAACAATGAATATACATGGGAAATAATAAATGAAATTGATTGTAACAGATGGTTTTATTTGAATTCAAATAAAGGGTGAAAAAAGAACATTGTTACATTACATCGAAATACGTCGGTGCGCAGTAAATCTATACGTGTGTGCAGCCTCTGAAAGCTGTGTGCGCGCGCACACACCTTAGAGCAGGGGTTCCCAAACTTATTTGGCCGCGGGCCAAAATTTCAAGGCGAGGATACTCGCGTGCCAGTAAAGCAGAATGACCAAAAACTCGCGTAAAGGCGGGGGTTTTGAAAATTTTGAAAAATAGGCACCAAAATAGGCTGCAAGATTGATTTTAGATACACCCAGTATCGCAGTTTGATATTGGGGAGAGGGGGAAAGGTAAAAAGATGATTCAATTGTATTGTGTTATAGCAGTGGTTCTCAACCTTTTACCGGCTGCGTGCCACTGACAAAACTCTCTTTTGGGGTTGGAAACAATGGCACAAAAATCGCGCTATGAGTCACCATATCCATTTTACCTTCCGTGCAAAGTTTTAACGTATCAATTTTATGCAGCAACAACGTATTAATTGCGTGCAAAGTAGCGAGAGAATTGGCATCGTCTGTCGTCATAGCTGGAAGGCTTCAATCATCGATTCGTTTTAGACAGGCAGTGGCGGGCGATCTCAAGACAAGAACTGGTAGCACTATAAAGCTTAAACCCATCCAACGCATACATACAGTATGGAAGATATAGCGTGGTCGACATATTTTAGTCAACTCAAATGTTAATTGTTGCAATAATTCAATCTCCTCGTGTACCACCTAAAAAGCTTCCGCGTACCATGAGAACCACTGTGTTATAGGAGATGATTCCCATGTTTATTCCAGGAAGAGTTTTTTATCAATATTCCTCCTTTACACTCAGATATATGAAGTCCATCTCTGCACCTCTGCCTGCTAATTCCAAGAAAGGAGAAAACAAGGACGATCAGAGAACTAAGGTAAGATTATCTTTTGAAATATGCTATTGCTACATTTTGAGCCAACAGCTCTCGCATGACTATAGTCCTTAACAATGTTCCCTCTAATTTTTGTAGTATGTGTGCGCAGAAATTTTGGTGTGTGCGCACTTTTTTGGAAATGACTAATATTTGTGCAAAAACCAATGAAGAAATTTTGGCGTTCTAACCAGGTAATAAGTGGGCTTATCAAGAAAATTTTGGTTATTCAATAAGTTTTTCTATAGATTGTAAATTCTTTAGTGAAGGCTATATATGTTATCAGTAGATAACAATGAATATACATGGAAAATAATAAATGAAATTGATTGTAACATTTGAATTCAAATAAAGGGTGAAGAAAGAACATTGTTACATTACATCGAAATACGTCTGTGCGCAGTAAATCTATGCCTGTGCGCGGCCTCTAAAAGCTGTGTGCGCGCGCACACGCGCACACCTTAGAGGTCCTTATCTTTGCTCAGAGATGAGTCTCCTCACACATATGAATGAGCATTCGTTGGGAGACGTTATTTTTTTCCTTGCAATGAGTGCTCACTATGAGATGAGTCTCCTCTACTCATAAGTGAGTGAGGAAATTCTTCTGAACAAATTTGAAAATCCTGAAACGGGGTGGATTACAGGCACAAGCTATTTTCATTTTCAGTCACTTATCTCGGCTCGGCGGTGTGGCTCAACGGGCTGAGCGTTAGGAATACGCTCGCCACCGCACCTCTAACTACTCTGCGTGGGTTCGCAGGTTCGAATCCCATGCAGGGATGGTTATGTGCGAGAGGATTGCTGGACTCCTCGCCGTCGTTGGGTGGTTTACGTAACCGCTGGTCGGTTACGGCTTCCTCCACCACCAAGTCCATGCTTCCGAAAACAAACAATACAGTAAATCTAATCCCATACCCGACTTGGAATGGTAACCGGACGAGAGGCCGTGGACCGCCATATGGATAAGCTGTCTTATCGGCTTTCCTCTCCCCCGGGATAAATATGTAAATCCAATCCAATACTGATTGAGGGATTGACACAAGTACACCTTTCAGTATTATCATGCCTAGATTGCCAAAACCCTTCCATACATTCAAGAGATGGATCAAACACAGCATACATGTACACTTACAACATTACTAACAACAAATATTTTTCTAGGCCTACCCTACATTTGTGAACCGGTACACACACAGAAGCAATGGAGGGATTCCTATCTACGCACAAGAACGAATGCAGGAGAGAGCAGCAAGAAGGTGACATTTATTCTAACTTTGGAATTTGCCTTTAATGTGTTACTTTAGCAGGGATGTCAAATCCGGAAGCTTCTGGGTGGCACATTTCTCTTTTATATTTTTTATACTATTTTCGGACCTTCAGGTGTATGTGCGACATCTTGGTGCACATACTTCGGGGGCCGCCCGATTTTAGATGTGTTTATGTAAAGTACACTTATAGGATAATTTTGTTAGATATAGTTCGCAACATATATTGCGACATAATTTTTTCTATTTATTCAATTCACTCAATTTTTTCAGCGCTTATCATGATCAAAAGTTGCAACTTCACAAAAAATATAGAATGTGTGTATTTTTATGTTATGAATAGGAATTTCATGTTTATCTCAAAGCAAAGTCGTAGTGCACCAGGGGTTACAGATGACAAGGAGTTCAGCAATCCTTCCGCACGTAATTATCCTCTACAGCAGGGGTTCTCAACCTGGGGTTCGCGAACCCCCAGGGGTTCACGAGCAGATTTCCAGGGGTACTTGGAAGGCAGTCGAGTTTTCATGTGTTGCTATTTTTTAATGTCCTTTACTATCAGAGGAAAATGCGTGCCGATTGAAATTTAGCGTGGATTTTCCCTGATCTTGCGTTGTTGTGACTGAACAATGTGAAATCAACATCTTTGCAGCCAAACAGGGCAAATCTCAATAGACAATGTGCTGTTTGCTCGGCTATTTAAATGAAATGCATTTAAAACAGGGGTTCCCAACCTTTCTGGCGGACCGGTAAAGTTAAATAAAATAATATAGTAACACATAGATCAAAACTTTGTCCAGAAGAGGACGTATTCTCCTCGTTTTTATTTGAAAAATACCAAAATGCGCTGTTGGTTACCTGATCTCATATTAATCCTTCTGCAGTTAATCAAAGCATCAAACAAAATGAATTAAAAAAAAAAAATGGCAAAGTCGTCTGTAACTTGTTCACAATCCTGCTGTGCATAACCTGGATAAGATCTCTGCGGCCCAGGCTTTTGTTGCGTGTCTTGTGACCACATGCAGGGTCGCAACAAGATCATATTTTACTATATGTAATACACAAACACAACGTCGTTATTTCGGGTTCGGTAAAGCGATTGAGTTGAGACGATTGAAAACAACAAAATTTCTCACAGACCAACAAAAAAGCTTCTGGTGCTCATGCAGTTCCGCGGACTAGTGGTTGAGAACCACTGCTTTAAATCACAGTTTAAAAATAGTTAGTTAATATATGACAACTTTGTTTGGTGTCTAATTATTGGGGGTTCGTGTTGATTATTTCATGACTCATGCAGGGTAATCAGAGGTTACAAGCGTATTTCTAACTCGTAACACGATGCGCCAATCTTCGAGCCTTAAATCTAAAGGTCCTTTTCTATTCAGACTTGCAGAAATGAAACTTGCAGAAGAAGAAAAGATCAGAAGACAGAATGAGATCATGCTTGGAAAACTGGATGAAAATGGAATCGGGGTAAGTGACCTTCAAATATCAAAGGTCATTTGAAAGACAAATTAAAGAATATTTTATCAAAAGAATGTTTTTAATTCCATCCCTGAGAAAAAAAAGCTGCAATGCTGATTGTGCAAAACATGTCCCCTTATTTCAGATGATGACCATACCACATCCTGTATATGAATAAGATAACTGTATGAGGTCGGAGGTTTTTGAAGCATATTTAACTAAAGTGCGAATTTTCATATTTAAAAAGCAGAGAAAGGCAACGTCGCGCGATACCCAGAATTAGTTTTCGACGCCTCCATTTACCCTGAAGTGCGTTTTTTTTTTTACTTTTTTTTCAATTTGTGCATGTATAGTTAGTATTTTCAGAATGGTGAAGAATTAAATTAATGATTACTGAAAATAAAGACAAGCCATCTAAGCGTGAGCTTGGTGTCTTATCCCTTCATCGGTCCATGTCGAACGTCTTATCCCTCCATCGGTCCATGTCGAGCGTCTTATCCCTTCATCGGTCCATGTCGAGATGGGAATGGTTGACTACTTACTTGTTCCGGACACGCAGACTTGAAGCCCGTAAATGTTTTTGTTTACCTACTTTATTTATCTTGTATTTTGTGTTTATTCAGGATGCTGAAACGAGGGCAAGATATGCAGAAGTTTACGGGATTCGATACCAACTGGGAAATCATCCTAATAAGTATGTTGTTTGATTCAAAAATAGGTTTTTAACGTTTATTTCGAAGAGAGAAAAGTCGTTAAGGTGACTTAGGTCATGCAGTGAAGCAGAACCATGTATGTTCCTCGTGCATGAAGATGTCTGATCTAGTTATCTGTCCAAGACATGTATGGAAATAGTTCACCTGTTCTGTTAAACTGCGATGAATCCAGCAATGAATGATAACCTATAAGACAGCATATGTTTTTGCACACCACAATATCAAGGCCATGATGCTTTCTAGTAATCCCCGAAACTCTTCTGGTGCACTGTAGGTCCTCCTGAAGTATGCGCACCAAGATGGCGCACAACCTGAACTCAGGTTGTTACTTATTGATTTTAATCGGTAAGTATGTTGATAGGTATTTGTCTGTTAGATGCACGTGATATCTCACGAAAGCGAGATTGAATCTGCTTCAGATTTTGCATGTGCATTCATTATATGTCGTACCAGAAGCCTATTGATTTTGGATTAATTATGTCGTATAATTAGCGAGTTATTGATTAATTAGTGATGGGATACAAGGTGTCACTATGGAGTAGGAGCGCTGTTTTGGGGGATCCTCTAACTTTCGATCGATAAGTCTTCGGTCTCTGACCGATATTCTCGTTTACCAGGTTAGGGTTCAGGCTATGCAACATCTTGGTGCGCATACTTCAGGAGTACCGCACTGTATATAGTAGGGGGGGGCAAGGTTTCTGAACCGGGGGCCTAAAATTTTGCCCACTAAGACTGGCGAGGCATGTAAGTGTGACATAAAAAGTTACTTTTTATGAACAATTTTTTCAGTGGAAAACAATAAGCCTCTGTGTTAAAACTAAATTTAATGACAATCTCAACAAACTGCTTGAGCTATTATTCAGCTAAAACATCAAAATTTGGTTTTGGCTTGATTGTGGTAGCATCAGGCGGGCCAGATTGAATTACCCAACGTGCCGAATTTGGCCCTCGGGTCGTAGTGGGCTCATGTCAGGTCTATAGACTTTTATTTCTATACTTTTATAAGTTTTTCAATCATTTTCAGGCCGCAATATACCCTCTACAACCCATTCCAAGATATGTCACCACCTAGTGGACAAAGTGAATCCGGATTTCCCTATCAGACGCCATACAGGGTTAAACATGACGGTAAGTACATTATGATTTACATATTTATCCTGGGGGAGAGGAAAGCCGATAAAACAGCATAATCATATGGCAAAACACGGCCTCTTGTCCGGTTACCATTTCATGTCGGATATGGGATTATTTACCCTGTTAGTTGTTTCGAGTGCTTTATATCAACATTATATTCTACTATCTGTTAATTTTTTCAAAATTTCTTGAAAATTATTATGAAGAGTATTTTTTTTTTTTTGAGAGTTATAGGTGAAATACTGATTTGCTATGATATTATGAAAAATTCACTTGAACCTCTGGCACGCTGCGAAATTGAGCAGTTTTAAAGAATATATATTGTTGAATTATCTGGTGAATTGTCAACTATAAGTTATATGTCGAAACACAAAAACAAGTTTATTTGATTAAAAAACATTTAAACTATTCACCCATAATCAAAATATATTTTGAGCCCCAAAAGCGAATTCCCCCCCATTAATCTGCCAGTGTGTTTTTATTATCGATATTTTCCTTTCTTTTACAGCCAAGATGTATCATGTCCAGCATGGGGGTGAACCAATGGCTGAGGGGAGCGAAAGTAGCAGCGGTGGAAGCAGGCAGAATTCAGCAGGCTCTGAGCCTGGTAATCAGCAGGGTGAAGTGAACAGTTCTGGGGAGGAAAAGCCCGAAAAAATTCATTCTCGAACTGTCGTTCCGTTACACACAATGTCATTTAAATTTGCTGGTGAAGGAAGGCAACCCAGCAGCACAAGCCTAAAATCACTCAGCCGTGACTGGATGACATCATCATATGAAGACAAACTTTTAAATTCAGTCAAAGAATGGCAATTTGAAAAGTCCGGCTTAGAACGGTCGAAAACATTCGATTCTTCGATAAACTTCGCCAATAAAGGACAAAATTTTGAGGAAAAAATGTCAAAAATTGACATTGGAGCTGATTTTCATAAACATTTCGGGACAAAACCTCATAAAAAGCAAAAACAATACACAGATAATTCCTCAGTGCTTTCTTCTGCCTCTCCTCCCCCACACGGCGACGTTTTTACTCCGAAGAATATAACTCGTTATGAAGTTGTGATCGGACAAACAAGATACCCGATACATATACACAGGTAGGGGGACATTATATGTGTTATATTGTACTCCTGTAGTATGTGTACCAGGTTAGAGTTAGGCCATAATTTTATTCCGATTTTCCTTATTTTAGTTCTATTGTGAGTTCGGGGACGGTTTGTGTTAGCCAAGTGAATATACCCCCTGCCCATAGGTTTCAGTCCCTTTACACAACTTGATGTAAAATAAAAGAATAAAATTAGTTACCTCCATATTGGCACAGACACTTCTGGAGCTACAAAGTTACAAATAGGTTAAGGCTACAACCCCTCATTAAAAACTAGTATTGATAGGTTAAATGCCGACCGATTCTGATGGAATAAGAATTTCATATTTATTTATCGAAACTTTGCATAAGCTCAACTGCTATTATTAGTGCTCTTCCATCTGTGAATTGTAGTATCACGAATGACTGAGTGACCACTTTCTAAAAAAATCCATTTTTTTGCAGAAATCGGACTGAAGCATCAAGCCCTCCGATGATCACAGGGGAATCGATTTTAAACCAGAAGCTGTCAGAACCCAATTCTGCATCCACTATAGGGCACAAGAGAGCACAATCTGCCGAAATCATTCAAAATGGCAACCCTGAAGAAGAATTTTTCCTTCGCAAGCATTCAATCGAGGACAATAGCCAACCTAGTAGTACAGAGTCACATCGCAGTAACGAACAAAATTCTGCAGTCTCAAAAAACCATAGAAAAAGCGACTCCGAATTTTTATCGAAATCCAACGGACTTATATTTGCGCTTCACAAAGTTAATGTAGTGTCTCCATCCAAGTCTAACTCAGATGATGTACACTTGGGGGCGCTCAAAAATACTCCCTACCCCCCAAAAAGAGCGTCCACTCTGTTTTCACCGATCGTTAAACCTCTCAGTTCTATGTCAAATAGACGAACATTCTCAGTTTCCACAGATCCCGATTTTAATATCAATTCAGCGAGATGAAGTGGATGGGGAAGTCCCCTCCCACAGCTGTTTCCTAACTTATTACAGAAGCCAAACAAATTTTTTTAATTGAATTAGCAAAATTTCAGATTCCCAAATTTTGAACACATCCTGAAATATTCTTTTTGAATATGGAATATTGAATAGGAACTTGCTAACTTCACATAAGGTACTGTTTTGCTAAATGTGGATTGCTTAGAATCCACAGCACTAAAGATCTTTAACTCATTTCAATTTGCCAATTTTATGAGAAACCTAGATACACATTTTTTTCTGTCATTTGATTAAACCATCTTTTCATATTTCCTCTCTTCTAAAATGAAATATTTTGAATCTTGTTATGGTATTTCAAAATGGGTCTGTTTTACAAAAAATCCTTATAAATTCATTAATATAATTAATTATATAATCATTAATAAAATAAATTCAATAAGACCATTATAAATTCGTATAAATCAATATTTTGTCGATCCTAGGATAATAAATGCTAAAAAAACATCTTCCAATGAAAACATTTAAATTCTCCCTAAAATCAAACATTTACTAAATCGAATATATCAATTTTCAACGTATTTAAACGTTAGATTAGTTTTTGACATCCTCAACCATGCACCAATACTAGTTCCCAACTCCCGTACAGGCAACCTAAAACAGAACAGAAAAACATCCCCGAAATCCCGCAGCTGCTCAGACAATACGCTGAAATAATTATTTGGACCATCTGAAGTATGCGCGCTAAGATGGCGCACAACCTGAACTCAGGTTGGGGATCAGGTTGTGCGAAATGTTGCTGCGCATACTTCAGGAGTACCTATTATTTTAAACTCTAATCTGGACTGCCAACTAAACAAGATTCAATATTTTTCAGGCGCACGTCGGGGGTTATCTGCCCCGGGTAGTACATTGTGGGGGTCAGTTTGAGGATTTGAATAATATGACCCTTAGTTTATTTATTCTCATCTATAAATTTGTCTATAAATATGAGTTGGGTTTTCAGAGCATCAGTATCAAACTTGCCAGTGCAGTAGGAAAGTTTGACACGCCCCCAGCTTTTTGGGCCCAATATTACCTATTAAAAGTGTTACTCCAGACTTGCATTTGGACAGGTGGGTTTGATTGGATTTACGTAATAATTAAAATACACAATGTCTTCAACTATTTCTTTGTCGTTAATGCGTGGAAGGAAAAAACAAATTCTGACCTTTGACCTCCGAGATCTAAAAAAAGGGCTCCAGTCCACACGATCTTTTTCTTTAAATTTTTCTTGAAATGTTGATTTAAAATCTATATTGTATGAGGAAATTTGATTGTTGCATTTTTTTTTACTTAAGAGCAAGTGACATTTTTATATAACTAATTTATTTTGTTAAATAAATATTCAAAAGTTACGAATCGTTCTGAACTGAAACTTAGGACGGGTTTATAAACTTAGGAATTTGGGAAGTGGGAATAGGAACCTTAAAACAAACGACATCGGGTGTTTATTGGAAGAACACCGAAATTACAAGCTGCCGTGTCTCTATCCCAATAGCTATGACACACCTAACTAAACGAGATCAGTAATACGTAAATACTAAAAATATTCTCCTTATCCCCTAAAATTAACCGCGCCCTTCGTTGAGAGGCCGAAAAACTATTGTTTATGGCAAAAGCGCGCTCATCGGTTACGGTAGAATTGCCATGACAACACAGAATTACGCTACACATTTCTCAGATATACGTATACACAACATGGATCACATATAGATATTCACAGATACACGTCACAGTATTTACAACACAGAGAAAGTACACATATAATACAAGATATAACACATTGCGACCCCGCGTTTCGAACGTACTGTATACAACTTGTAATCATAACACGCTTGCCCTTACACTATCGCTACCTACATTACAGGTTCGACTCCAACCTTGAGTTGATCTCGAGAGTCCGCGGATTTGTAGGAAGTCCAATAGCTTTAAAAGTTCAGCACTTCGTGGTATAAATACCCGGATTACATCGCTGTTCTCGAAATGATGCGATGGCGCAGCGTGTTAGGCGTGACATGGTTGCGCCGAAGGATGGAAGGTTCGAATCCACCTTGAAGCGAGGTGCAAGGAGAGTGCGCCAAGAGAGCAAAAGCACGATATGAAATATCGCTTCGCGAATTCAACATGGAGCGAGGCACAACGAGAGTGAGCCAAGAGGGCAAAGGCACAAATATCGTTCGGCTCGAAACGTCTTCCAAGCTTTTTATTGTTATATATTTCACAAAAAGGCCACCCTGTGGCGTCCATCGCACTGACTCTGCAGGATCATTGGGGTTTGGGGAGTCACCGATACATCACCGTCCTCCCCGGACCACGAGACAAGTCCCGTAGGTCAAAGTAGAGAACGCCTTCATCGGCAACTCGGACCTGGGTTTTGAGGCCAGGTCCAGGTGAACACCTCACCTGCGTCATTGTCAGTGCGCCACGCCGGCAGCCGAGGAATGTGTTCTAACCTCTAATACTTATCTCTCGATTATTCCAAGACAATTGAAGAAAAGAGTGTATGGGTCTGGTATTGAACTCGAACGACAGGATTACTTCTCGGCCGTCCTACTGACTACGCCAGATCGGATGACGAGGGAGCAATTCGAAGTAATTAAAGTTATATTTCGTATACAAGTTCAGCTCCTCGTGGGATAAATACCCGGATTACATTAGTCTGTTTGAGATGGTGCGGTGGCGCACCGGGTTAAGCGTGACATGGTTGCGCCGAATGATAGAAGGTTCGAATCCACCATGAAGCGAGGCGCAAGGAGAGTGCGCCAAGAGAGCAAAAGCACAATACAAAATATCGTCTCGCGAATTCACCGTGGAGCGAGGTACAAGGAGAGTGAGCCGAGAGGGCGAAGGCACAATATAAAATGTCGTTCGGCTAGAAACATCTTCCAAGCTTTTTATTGTTATATATTTCACAAAAAGGCCACCCTGTGGCGTCCATCGCACTGACTCTGCAGGATCATTGGGGTTTGGGGAGTCACCGATACATCACCGTCCTCGCCGGACCACGAGACAGGTCCCGTAGGTCAAAGTAGAGGACGCCTTCATCGGCAACTCGGACCTGGGTTCTGAGCCCAGGTCCAGGTGAACACCTCACCTGCGTCATTGTCAGTGCGCCACGCCGGCAGCCGAGGAATACGTTCTAACCTCTAATACTTATCTCTCGATTACTCCAAAACAATTGAAGAAAAGGGTGCTTGGGTCTGGTATTGAACTCGAACGACAGGATTACTTCTCAGTCGTCTTACTGACTACGCCAGATCCGATGACGAGGGGGCAATTCGTAGTAATTAAAGTTATATTTCGTATAAAAGTTCAGCTACTCGTGGGATAAATACCCGGATTACATCGATCTGTTTGAGATGGTGCGGTGGCGCACCGGGTTGAGCGTGACATGGTTGCACCGAAGGGTAGAAGGTTCGAATCCACCATGAAGCGGGGCGCAAGGAGAGTGCGCCAAGAGAGCAGAAGCACGATATAAAATATCGTTTCGCGAATTCACCATGGAGCGAGGCCCAAGGATAGTGAGCCAAGAGGGCGAAGGCACAATATAAAATATCGTTCGGCTCGAAAATTTTCCAAGCTTTTTATTGTTATATATTTTACAAAAAGGCCACCCTGTGGCGTCCATCGCACTGACTCTGCAGGATCATTGGGGTTTGGTGAGTCACCGATACATCACCGTCCTCGCCGGACCACGAGACAAGTCCCGTAGGTCAAAGTAGAGGACGCCTTCATCGGCAACTCGGACCTGGGTTTTGAGCCCAAGTCCAGGTGAACACCTCACCTGCGTCATTGTCAGTGCGCCACGCCGGCAGCCGAGGAATGTGTTCTAACCTCTAATACTTATCTTTCGATTACTCCAAAACAACTGAAGAAAAGAAGTGTATGGGGCTGGTATTGAACTCGAACGACCGGATTACTTCTCGGCCGTCTTACTGACTACGCCAGATCGGATGACGAGGGAGTAATCCGTAGTAATTAAAGTTATTTTTCGTATAAAAGTTCAGCTCCTGGTGGGATAAATACCCGGATTACATTGATCTGTTTGAGATGGTGCGGTGGCGCACCGGGTTAAGCGTGACATGGTTGCACCGAAGAGTAGAAGGTTCGAATCCACAATGAAGCGAGGCGCAAGGAGAGTGCGGCAAGAGGGCAAAGGCATAATATAAAATAGCGTTCGGCTCGGAACATCTTCCAAGCTTTTTATTGATATACATTTCACAAAAAGGCCACCCTGTGGCGTCCATCGCACTGACTCTGCAGGATCATTGGGGTTTGGGGAGTCACCGATACATCACCGTCCTCCCCGGACCACGAGACAAGTCCCGTAGGTCAAAGTAGAGGACGCCTTCATCGGCAACTCGGACCTGGGTTTTGAGCCCAAGTCCAGGTGAACACCTCACCTGCGTCATTGTCAGTGCGCCACGCCGGCAGCCGAGGAATGTGTTCTAACCTCTAATACTTATCCCTCAATTACTCCAAAACAATTGAAGAAAAGAGTGCATGGATCTGGTATTGAACTCGAACGACAGGATTACTTCTCAGTCGTCTTACTGACTACGCCAGATCGGATGACGAGGGAGTAACTCGTAGTAATTAAAGTTATTTTTCGTATACAAGTTCAGCTCCTCGTGGGATAAATACCCGGATTACATTGGTCTGATTGAGACGGTGCGGTGGCGCACCGGGTTAAACGTGACATCGTTGCGCCGAAGGATAGAAGGTTCGAATCCACCATGAAGCGAGGCGCAAGGGGAGTGCGCCAAGAGAGCAAAAGCACGATATAAAATATCGTTTCGCGAATTCACCATGGAGCGAGGCACAAGGAGAGTGAGCCAAGAGGGCAAAGGCACAATATAAAATATCGTTCGGCTCGAAACATCTTCCAAGCTTTTTATTGTTATATATTTCACAAAAAGGCCACCCTGTGGCGTCCATCGCACTGACTCTGCAGGATCATTGGGGTTTGGGGAGTCACCGATACATCACCGTCCTCGCCGGACCACGAGACAAGTCCCGTAGGTCAAAGTAGAGGACGCCTTCATCGGCAACTCGGACCTGGGTTTTGAGCCCAGGTCCAGGTGAACACCTCACCTGCGTCATTGTCAGTGCGCCACGCCGGCAGCCGAGGAGTGTATTCTAACCTCTAATACTTATCTCTCAATTACTCCAAAACAATTGAAGAAAAGAGTGTATGGGTCTGGTATTGAACTCGAACGACAGGATTACTTCTCGGCCGTCTTACTGACTACGCCAGATCGGATGACGAGGAAGTAATTCGTAGTAATTAAAGTTATTTTTCGTATAAAAGTTCAGCTCCTCGTGGGATAAATACCCGGATTACATTGCTGTTTTCGAAATGGTGCGGTGGCGCACCGGGTTAGGCGTGGCTTGGTTGCGCCGAAGGATAGAAGGTTCGAATCCACCATGAAGCGAGGCGCAAGGAGAGTGCGCCAAGAGAGCAAAGGCACAATATAAAATATCCTGTGGCGTCCATCGCACTGACTCTGCAGGATCATTGGGGTTCGAGGAGTCACCGATACATCACCGTCCTCGCCGGACCACGAGACAATTCCCGTAGGTCAAAGTAGAGGACGACTTCATCGGCAACTCGAACCTGGGTTTTGAGCCCAGGTCCAAGTGAACACCTCACCTGCGTCATTGTCAGTGCGCCACGCCGGCAGCCGAGGAATGTGTTCTAACCTCTAATACTTATCCCTCAATTACTTCAAAACAATTGAAGAAAAGAGTGCATGGGTCTGGTATTGAACTCGAACGACAGGATTACTTCTCGGCCGTCTTACTGACTACGCCAGATCGGATGACGAGGGAGTAATTCGTAGTAATTAGAGTTATTTTTCGTATAAAAGTTCAGCACTTCGTGGTATAAATACCCGGATTACATAGCTGTTTTCGAAATGGTGCGATGGCGCACCGGGTTAGGCGTGAGATGGTTGCGCCGAAGGATAGAAGGTTCGAATCCACCTTGAAGCGAGGCGCATGGAGAGTGCGCCAAGAGAGCAAAAGCAAGATATAAAATATCGTTTCGCGAATTCACCATGGAGCGAGGCACAAGGAGAAGTGAGCCAAGCGGGCAAAGGCATATAATATAAAATATCGTTTGGCTCGAAACATCTTCCAAGCTTTTTATTGTTATATATTTCACAAAAAGGCCACCCTGTGACGTCCATCGCACTGACTCTGCAGGATCATTGGGGTTTGGGGAGTCACCGATACATCACCGTCCTCGCCGGACCACGAGAAAAGTCCCGTAGGTCAAAGTAGAGGACGCCTTCATCGGTAACTCGGTCCTGGGTTTTGAGCCCAGGTCCAGGTGAACACCTCACCT